TCTGGATAAATTATAAAAGAAGCGGTTACTTTTCTACCTAATATAACTAAAAACTAAGGAAGAGCAATACAATTTTGTCTCGAACACACTTTTCCTTAGTAGAGAAAAAAAAAGACAAAATCTCTATAAGTGGTAAAGAGATGTCCATTGAAACCTTTTTTATGATTCCATGAGAGAACTTTTCTTCTTTTGTCCACAGACAAGCAGGTGTTTTGAAAGTTATACCAGTTGATTACATATGATTGTTTTAATAATCTTTTTTAGGGTCTTGAATAAGAACATTTCTCATGCAACTTCAGACAGGTGGGGGGATAATAATTTTAATTTTAATTTTAATAATAATTTTATTATGGAGCCATTCCAAGAATTTATAAGTGGTCAAGGGCTGCAATCTTCTATGATATTAGTGGAGGAGGTATGGGATTTGAGGTCGAGGTTGGATGCAGAAGAGAGCTCAGGATAGGGGATGAGAGTGCAGGAGGTGGTGAGGGAAGGAATTTGGGTGAAGGAAGAGACTAAAGATGACTTTAGGCAGAGGCAGGAAAGGTCCAAGAGGGGGTGCAGGAGAGGATTCTGACCAGGGGGAGGGATGTAGAAGGGGATGCAGGGCCTAGGAGGGAGTTATAACCTGGGGTAGAGATGCAAGAGAGGGTGCAGAGGATTTGGGTTGTGGACTTAGGGCCGGAGAGAGTTGTGACCTGCGGCAGGGATTTGAGGGGTGGGAATGCCAGATGCAGGCTCTGACCAGGAGGCATTTACCCTAAATGGCTCCCAGCCAGCAGCCCTGCAGGACCCTCCACAAGGCTTCTAGTCTCCTGCAGCCTCTTGCCACTCAAAGCAGCTGGCTGTTGGGGCCAGGTGTGTCTCTATGCACCACACACCCCTTGGGAGGGCTTGATGTGCTGCCTGTGCCATAAGCACAACCCAGGCAGCTCCCATTGGCCTGTTGTGAGGATTGTGCTGGGGGCAGGAGCAGTGCATGGAGACATCCCTCCCCCCCACCAGTGGCATGTGGTGCACAGAGAGCAAATGGCACCCACTACTGGCCACTTTGAGCAGCAAGGGGTCATGGCAGGCAAGGAGCCTGCCTCAAAGTCCCGTTGGGCAGCAGGACATTGGCAGCCCAGAGGATCACAGTAGGCCCAATTGGAGGCTTTTTCACAGTGGATCTGGCCTGTGGACCATATTTTGTCCACTCAAGATGGGGAAAGCTCCAAATCAACCTCAGTTCCATCACAGACTGGGACAGGCTCCAAAGACAAAGAGGATAATTCCTAAGGCCTTAGAGATAGAGAGAGGACAAATTCCATGCTCCCCACCTTCCTCAGGAAATAACAATGGGAGGCAGAGAGAAAATGACCATTTTAGGATATCACAGTAGGACACGGAAGTATGGTGGGAGGGAATCAAAAAGGAGGGATGACTTTGGAAGTTGTATGCTGGGGACATAGATAGGGAAAGTCCCAAATCACACCCACCTCTCAGGCAAGAAGTAAAGAACAACAAGGGTTTCCTTCTAGAGGAGAGCAAGAGTTGAAAAGCCTGAAATATTCACCTAACAAAAGGAAATGCCTCTTTAAGAAGGGCAAGGATCTGGCCTTGCTGTCACTACCTTCCCAAAGTCTTCATCAAGGAATAAAGCCATGAATCACCTCTTGTGGAAAAGGGTGGGATTTGGGGGCAGCAGGGAGTGGTGGTGGAGGGACAGAGGTTCATGTAAGTAGATATCCATGCAGTCTCAGAAGTTAATCACTTTACACAAGTTGTTTCCTCTAATGCCTTGGCATTAAAAGGAATCTGGACGTGAGCACGATTCAAGTGAATTCATAATCAAAACTCTCTCTCAGATGGTTATTTGTGCAATGGTTCTCTGCAGTATTGCCCCAGCTCTACACCTCTTTGCCTACTGGTACTATAGTAATTGGGGTGGCCCTGGTGTGCAACAGAATAGCAACCACAAAGTTTCTAGCTGGCTGCAAATTGCTCATACACATTATAGCATCCTTCACTGTAGAGAGGAGTCAAGTAAGGGGGAACAGTGGTCCTCTTTTTCCTGACTTGGCATAGCAGTGCTCCCCAGATGTGATCCCCTCAATCACTGGTCTCTACACTGAGAGCTCTCCTTCCTGTTTCAATCCCTGTATTCATGGACTAATGTTAAAATGATTACACCACATACAACCCTCGTGCGCTTTTCACACAGTGCAACAAATTAACTAGTGTAACCCTTCTACCGCCAGTGTACTGTTCTTCCTCCCATGAACGAACTCAGTATTAAGACAAGTTAATTATTAAACGGTTGGCTGCAGTTTAAGACTGACTCCCGCCTTTGTCTTGCTGCATTACTAAATGCCTTCTCCTTTGAAATGCCACATAAAAGTGATAGATGCCCTTTCTTTAAAAGTCAGCCATCTAGTGCAGTTATGTTTTATATTAGGTCTGCAACAAAGAGCCTTCCTTGTTTAAATATAGAAGCATAATGCAGATAAGGTTAAGTAAGTTGGCTGCAGTGAGAACACCGGGCCTGGTCTCTGTTAAGATAAGTGGTCTGGAGGGGTAGGGACTCATACGGTGTGCAAGATTGGACTGTTTGACTTAAAGTGTAGAAATTAGAAAGCAACGTGAAAACAAATGAAGCTCAGACCAAAGATACAAATGGACAAACATATTTGTGATAACACGATGAACAGTTATTGGCATTTGCTAAGGAGAGCTAATGGGTTTTGAAGTCTAGTTTTGCCTGGGATGTACTTTTAAAATACCTTCAATATTAAAATGCACACTGGAAGTGGGGTTCTTGAAGGTTCTTTTTAGCATAATGTTTATGCTTAGGAAATTGCCTAATGCTTTTGGAAGTAATATCTTGTCTGTGCAAAGGAAAAATGAATAAATAATTGAACCTGCAGATACATAGGGTCAGCGAAATAGCAAGCATTAGAAGAAAAGGAGAAAGAAAAACAAATTACCCCAGGATTATCACTATTCTTTGTAGAAACTTAATGTTTTTATATTTGCTTACCAGCTTTTATGGGGCAAAACTATAGCATATGTCCATAAACATCAATCTTTTGAATGCTCTGTGGCACCATAAGACAGCTAGGTCTCTGCTCATACATAAATCCATGTTTATATGCCAAGAAAAAAAATCTCTTATTTAGGTTTTTGACTTTCAGTCCACAGCTTTCACATCAGTCAGTCATTCTCAGTGAAAGAATGTGGAGTAGATTTATGGGATCTATATTATGCTCTCAATCTTAATAGCATTTTTAACGTACGCCTGTGAGTCATCTTAAATGGTATTTTTGCTCTATTTTAAAGACATTAGTGTGTAAAAAGAGATCAAAATCTTTACCTTGAATCATAAAACCATTTTAACCAATTTTACCAGCATCAATTCTACTCCAATAGTAAAAGTTCTCTCAGCAATTTCCTTATAAGCCTCTATTCAGAGTTGTTGTTTTTTAACTTGCTTGTAAAATGCACTCTGGCTTAATGCTTGGCAAATAAGATCTTAACTTGCATGAGCAGTTAATTTGTTTTCTCCATCACATTCAAAATAAAATAAATCAGCTGAGCCATACTGAAAATATGAAGTAAAAGGCTAGATCTGACCACCCTTATGGTGAGGAATGACTTACTCCTTGAAATGTCCCATTGAAGCTTGTGGGACTATAGGAGTAGAGGTACAGTTCAGTAAGAGAAAAAGTAATAAAAATCTGGCCCAAAATAAACAAGTAAAAATATAGACACTTGCTATAATTGATTAATTTTGCATTCAGGCAGAATAACTTTTTGTAGTTTGAGAGTTGTAGCTTTCTTTGCATTGTAAGTAGTGCAATGATTTTAAACACTATTTAAAAAGTCTATTAAGCCTTCTATTGTAGATTCATGGGATATGATTTTTCATAATGATTGTATAGGCTTTGAAAAACTTTATATTTTCAACTTTTTTGCAATCATAATACATAAAATAAGAGAAGGAAAAATCCACACTGCAGTCCTGGTCCTGCAAACACTACGGTATACAAATGACACACTTAATATTAAGTGGTTTTGGTGGGAGTACTCTTGGTAGCATTCAGAAGTAAATGCTTGCAAGAACAGACAGTCATTAATGAATTGATACTAGGAGACTTCTGCCAAACCAATGGCTTTGCTAGTGAGGGTGCCAAGAACTAGACTTGGAATAGCTAAATTCTGTGGAACAGTCTGAGATAAACAGATTTCTATCTTTTAGGTGTTACAGCGATGGAAATCATAAGCATCTGCATGTAGTGGTTAGAGATAGTACTATACTCCCGAGATGGCTTCATTTCACACATTTATATATTTCGCTAAAAGAGACCCACATATATACTGGAATAACAGTGATATCCAAAGGAAAGAAATGAGACCACATGGTCTAAAATCCAACTACTTTTGGGGTCGATGTTGAGCCACTGGGCTCCAAAAGCAACTCGGACTAAATTTCATGAAGCACTTGACAGATGAGAGAACAGAATGTCACAGCTAAATATCCTCCCCCAACTGAGAGGTTGTAGCAGTGATATGGGTGTGGGGGTGGGGAGGGGAGAGGGAGAATCTGGGAGTTTGTTGTGTA